TGAATCTATAAACAGAGTAAGCAGAAGAAAATTCATGTCCAGCTCAAAACATTACCTTAGTCTTTCCCTCCACAGAGGCTGCCAGACATGCTGAGTTTCTCCAGCACTTCTTGGTTTCTTTTTATTTCAGATCTTCAGCATCCACAGTACTTCAGTATTATTTGTAGAATTAATAAACTGAATGGTAAGGTCCTGGGGAATGTTTCCAAACAAAGAGACCTTGGATTGCAGGTTCATAGTTCCTTGAAAGTAGAGTCCCAGGTAGACAGGATAGTGAAGAAGGCGTGAGGTATGCTTGTCTTTATTGGTCAGTGCATTGAGTAAAGGAGTTGGAAGGTCATGTTGTGGCTGTACAGGACATTGCTCAGGCCACTTTTAGAATACTGCATTTAAATCTGCTTTTCTTGCTATGGGAAGGATGTTGTGAAATTTGAAAGGGTTCAGAAAAGATTTACAAGAATATTGCCAAGGTTGGAGGGTTTGAGCTATAGGGAGAGGCTGAATAGGCTGGGGCAATATTCCCTGGAGCTTTGGAGGCTGAGATGAGACCTTACAGATATTTATAAAATCATGAGGGGCATGGATAGGGTGAATAGCCAAGGACTTTTCCCTGGGGTGGGGAGGGGGAGTCCAGAACTAGAGGTCATAGGTTTAAAGTGAGAGGAGAAAGATTTAAAAGGGACCTAAGGGGCAACTTTTTCACACAGAGGGTGGTGCAAGTATGGAATGAGCTGCCAGAGGAAGTAGTGGAGGCTGGTACAATTACAATATTTAAAAGGCATCTGGATGGGTTTATGAATAGGAAGGGTTTAGAGGGACCTGGGCAAAATGCTGGCAAATGGGACTAGATTAATTTGGGATATCTGATTGGCATGGATGAGTTGGACTGAAGGGTCTATTTCCATACTGTACTCTATGACCCTAAGTAATTTAAGAAAGCTTTGAGAATCTGAAATTGAATGCCATTGGCAGTAATAGTAGCCATCACAAAAATCAAAAAGTTTTGCAAAAAGTCAAGTTTTATTAATGTCCTGTAGGAAGGAAATCTGCCAGGCTATGTCTGCTATTTGTGACTCCAGACCCACAGCAATGTGTCTGACTCTGAAGAATGATTAGGGATGGGAAACACATGTTGATCTTGTCAACACATGACTAGTGGTATCCCTAGGTGGTGTTCGGGCCCAGACATTTGAAACTGTTTTCCACAAGAGGCTGTGGATGCTGGATCAGCCGTTAATTTTAAAACTAAGATTTTTGTTAAATAGTGATATTAAGGGATAGATGCCAAAGGCAGGCATGTGGAGTTAGGCCACAGATCAGCCATGATCTCAAAGAATGGTGGAACAAGCTCGAGGAGCTGAATGGCCTACTCCTGTTCCTATAAACAGAGAATAAATCAGAAGATAATGAGGATGTGTAACAACATTAATAAGTGACTTTAACTTTTGTGTAGATTGGGAAAGTCAGATGGGCAGAATTAACCATGTTTGTGGTTAACCAGAATTAACCACCAGTCAAAGAATGTATTCAGGATAGTTTCCTACAACAATATATTGTGCGAGTATTAGGCTATTTTGGATTTGGTGATGTTTAATGAGGCAGTTTAATGAAATGATGCCAGAGCAAAAGATCCCCTGGGAAACAGCAAACATGACAGGGTAGAATTTGGCATTCAGTTTGAGAGGGAGGAACTTGGGTCAGAAACAATTGTGCTAAACTTTAATAAGGTTAATTACAAAGGAATGAAGGCAGGGAGTTTGTCTATCTGCCTTTTGTGTGAATAGGGCTCAAAACAACATTTAGATTATTTTCTTGTTTAATTTTGCTCTACTAAAATTATTGTACTGTCAATAAATTGCAAAGTCTTTTGTTTAAGCTACAAACCAGTGTTCAGAATTGATTATTCATGGACCCTGGAGTATAAAAGTAGGGATATTTTACTGAAAGTATACAAGCCACTAGTCGGATCACAGCTAGAATATCATGAACAGCTTTGGATCTTTATCTAAGGAAAGAGGTTCACCAGGCTGTTATCAGGAATGGAGACAAAAACAAAGTTGCTGGAAAAGCTCAGCAGGTCTGGCAGCATCATTGGAGGAGAAAACAGAGTTAACGTTTTGGATCCAGTGACCCTTCCTCAGAACGGGACCCGAAACATTAACTCTGTTTTCTCCTCCACAGATGCTGCCAGACCTGCTGAACTTTTCCAGCAACTTTGTTTTTGTTCCTGATTTACAGCATCCACAGTTCTTTTGGTTTTTACCAGGAATGGAGAGACTGTCTTACAAGGAGGTTGAGTAGGTTGGGTCTCTACTCATCAGAGAAGGATAAGAGGCAACTTTGTTAAAACACACAAAAGGACTTGACAGGATTGATGCAGAGAGGTTGTTTCTCCTTGTAGGAGAGTCAAGGACCAAATCTCAGATTGAGGGGGTCACACCTCTAACTCAAAGATGAGAAGGAATTCCTTTTTCCAGAGGTAATGAATCTGTGGAGTTCTTTACTGCAAAAGGCTGTCAGTAAGTATATTCAATAAGGGAATAAAGGGTTATGGCAGGGAATAAAGGCAGAAAAATAAAAGTTCAGGGTTATCAGATCACCCATGATCTAATTGAATGGTGAAACAAACTTGATGGACTGAATGGCCTACTTCTGCTCCTACATCTTGTGCTCTTATAGCTTTTCAGTCCCGATTGGATATATAGAGGTTACTGAGGTGCTGTGCTTGTTGATAATGGAGTTTCTGTACTGCAGGCAATTCATCAACATCCTGACATTGAAATACTGAACTGAGGAAACAGAACATTCATTTCTTACCAAACATTTAGGATCAGACCTTTGTTTAACCACTTCTGCAGGTGACACCAAACTGCTCCACTGGTCACAAACTGATACAAGATGCATTCAGGTATGGACCCTATACAACCCCAAATATGAAACAAATAAAAAAAAAACCAGTGCACCTAATAATTCATACAAAATGTGAATACCTGGTTTAATTATTATCTTGACTGTGGCTGGCATTAAGTATACATACGGGAAATACATCTTCTCTCTGCAAGGCTGCCTGAGCGGGGAGTCTGGCTGATTCCATAAATCTACCCACTTCCCCATAACCATTGCTATGTTGCAGACTACCGTTGCCCTGCAAATTGGTGAAATCTGCTTCATCTGTGCTCCTGCTACTGCGCTTAATATCCACTCCTGTACCACTGCAGTATGGTGTCTGCAGCATTGACAGCCTATAGGATGATGTAGGTCATACTGTCTAGAAAGATGAAAGATGGTATAAATTCACTGACAATTCAACCCATAGTTTTCTGGCCAATTTCCATTCATTCTGTTGCCTGGTTCTTCACTCCACAGAGCCTGATCTGGGTAAAGTTGTAGATTGTACTGGATGGAAAACTAGTTACAAAACAGGAAGTTGGGGTTACAGTAGCTACTCAGACTGTTAGATGGTGGGACGTGGTATTCCACAAGATGAAGTTGGGACTACTTTCATTCCCAATTTACCTCAGAAAACAGTGTGTCAATTTTAAAACTTGGAAGTAAAACGATGGATAAATCACAGAAAAGAATTCAATAAAATTTTGTAGCACAGTTCACTAAATCTTTATTTCAACAGCACAGCAAAACAAGGACACCAGGAAATGATTAATTGCTTTATAATTAATACATTAGGAGATACAGTTAATACTGAGAAAGACTGCATCAAAATCACAGTGTCTAACATCAAACTAAGAGTTTCTGGAAACACAATGCAGGTCCTTCTTTATCTTCTTTAAAGGTCTGTTGTATAATTGTTCCAGGAGTCAAGAGACTCTTGTGAACTCATCCATCTGCATTTAAAATCAGACAGTAATTCTTTTTGACTACATTTCACTATGTTAGAGATGCTATGTAAATACAGATTTTTGTTGGTTGACTGGACTATCTCTCACACACATGAAACAATGAAATTTTACACAATGATGACCACAATTAGAATCACAAGTGTTACAACACAGAAGGCAGCCATTTGATCCATTGTGTCTGAGCTGCTAACAAGCATTATTTGCTACATTTGCAAATCACTTTAAATCTTTGCCCTTTTCATCTCAATCCTTTTATGAGCAGGGAATGTTTCTTCCCATTTACTCTATCCAGACCTCTCATGATTTTGAACATTTCTAAGAGATTACCTCTTAACCTTAATTTTTTCAAAGAAGAACAGTCCAAACCTCTCCAATTTATCCTCATAACTGAAATTTCACATTCTTGGAAAAATTCTTGTAAACCTTCTCCATTCTCTACAAGATATTCACATCTTTTTGATAGTGTGGTGTCCAGAACTGTACCCAATACTCCATTTGAAGTCTAATAAGTATCTTGAAAAAGTTCAGCATCACCTGCTTGCTCTTGTCCTGTATGACCCCATCAGTAAAGCCTGTGATATTGTATACTTTATTCACATTTTCAGGCTGGAAATTTGTACTTCACTTGCAGTCACAAATAAATCACAGGTGGCACCGATCTCCAATTTTTCAGCATGTTTCTAGCATTCACTGTAGTTCTTCCTGACTCTAAATACTTGTAAAGGAATTTCTGCTCCATGCCTAGGGAGCTCTGAACCATGGAAGACAGCAGCTGGGATACATTTCTTACACCGGGACTTTGCCGGCAATGACAAGAAATGAGAAAGACCAAAGTGCCATTTGCCCTCTCAGTATGACCCTGAAGGACTGTGCCCAGACTGAAATTTTGTTCCTGCTATATGATCCTCTCCCTACAAGACTGTCCTTTCTGAGCTCCAGTCAGATTACAATAAACACTCAGTGGAAAGTTCTGGGATAGTTAGATCTCCACAATAATATGTTTAAAACAAATCTGCTATGTGGCATTTATCTAGAATGTTAAATAGCAATCTTCTATAGTTTATTAATGTCAGTAGAAATAAGCGCCAGTGATGAACACAATTAACAACCATAGAAATAGCAGGATCAAGCCCTTGCAATCACTTGTGAATTCGCTGGTGTGTCAAACAGGAGGATGACTGAGTGAATCTCTTCCCGCAGATAGGGCAAGTGAACGGTCTCTCCCCGGTGTGAACTCGTTGGTGTGTCAGCAGATTCCTTCTACTTTTAAAGGTCTTCTCACAGTCAGAGCACTGAAAAGGTCTCTGATCAGTATGAACAAGTTGATGTGTCAGAAGGTGGGATGATCGAGTAAATCCCTTTCCACACACAGAGCAGGTGAACGGCCTCTCCCCAGTGTGAACACGCTGGTGGGTCAGCAGGTCAGATGAATTAGTAAATCCCTTCCCACACATGGAGCAGGTGAATGGCCTCTCTCCAGTGTGAATATACTGGTGAGTCAGTAGTTTTGATGGCCGAATAAATCCCTTCCCACAGACAGAGCAGGTGAATGGACTCGCCCCAGTGTGAATCCGCTGGTGTTTCAGAAATCTGGATAGTCGATTAAATCCGTCACCACAGAAGGAACAGATAAATAGACTCTCCCTTGTATGAATGCGCTGGTGCGTCAACAGGTAGGATGACTGTGTGAATCCCTTTCCGCACTCAGAGCAGGTGAACGGCCTCTCTCCAGTGTGAATTTGCTGGTGTCTCAGAAGGCTTGAGGAATGACTGAATACCTTGCCACACAGCGAGCAGATGAGTGAAATCTGCTCCGTGTGAACCCGCCGGTGTCTCAGAAGGTTGGATGAATGAGTGAAACCCTTCCCACACTCGGAGCAGGTGAATGGTCTCTCCCCAGTGTGACTGCGTCGATGAGTTTCCAGTTTTGATGGGGAGCTGAATCCCTTTCCACAGTCCCCACATTTCCACGGTTTCTCCGTGGAGCTGTTGTTCTCCTGTCTCTCCAGACTGGATGATGAGTTGAAGACTTGGCCACACAGAGAACACAGTTTATAGTTACCCCTAGTTGTAAATTTTGTGATAGTTTATCAATTCATTCAGTTTGTTAATACATTTCTGCTTCTATATTAAAAGGCAAATTATATTCAGCTCCTGATCTACTGACTGAATCTATCAGACTGTGACATGATGCTTGGTTTGAGTTCCACGTCTGCACATCCTCCCATTCTCGTATGCTGTAAAAAGAAAGAACAGAAATTCAGAACAGGCAATTCTAATTTCTTTTTGTAGCTTGTTCATGGGTTGTGGGCATCACTGGCAAAACCTGTATTTATCAAGGGTGGGTGTGTGGACTCTGTATTGTTGGAGATGGTCATTGTGTAGCATGTTTACTAATTGTCGTGAATCAGTACAGGCCTGAATGTTGTCTTCATTTTCTTTCACATGGACATGAGACTGCTTCATTATCTCAGGAGTTACAAATAGAATTGAGCACTGTGTATTCATTAGCAAACATCCCCACTTTAGATAAAGAGAATGCAATTGACAAAGCAGTTAAAGGTAGTTGGGCCTGGGACACTGCGCTGGGCAACTCCTACTGATAAGTTAAGGGTGTGACGATTACTTTTCAACAACCACAAGCATCTCCCGTTTGTACTGGACGTGACTTCAGCCAGAGATTTCCACCTGATCACCATTAACTTCACCTCTACTCAGGATCATTGATGCTTCCTTGGATCACGTTTTGCCTTAATATCAAGGGTAGTATTCACCTCATCTCTTGAAGTGAGTTCAGTCTTTGAGCTCATTGGTGACTAAGGGGCCAGAAATGCACAGGGCACAACATCATGGAATGACACAGCATGGAAGGAGACATCATGCCCATACTTAATTCTTTGAAAGAGTTATAGAGTATGCATAGCATGGAAACAGACCCTTTGGTGCAACTCGTCCATGCCAACCAGATATCCTAAATAAATCAGGTCCCATTTGCCAGCATTTGGCCCATATCCCTCTAAACCCTTCCTATTTATATATCCATCCGGATGGCTTTTAAATGTTGTAATTCTACCAGCCTCCACTACTACTTCTGGAAGCTCATTCCATACATGTATTATGCTCTGCATGAAAAAGTTTCCCCTTAGGTCCCTTTTAAATCTTTCCTCTCTCACCTTAAACCTATGCCCTCTAGTTTTGGACTCTCCTACCATGGAGAAAAAAACCTTGGCTATCCATCTTATCCATGCCCCTCATGATTTTATAAACCTCTATAAGTTCACGCCTCAGCCTCCGACGCTCCAGGGAAAACAGCCCCAGCCTATTCAGCATTTCCCTATAGCTCAAACCCTCCAACCCTGGCAACTTCCTTGAAAGGGTTCAGAAAAGATCTACAAGTTTAACAATGTCTTTCCTAGCAAATAGACCAGAATTAAATGCAGTATTCCAAAGTTGCCTAACCAATGTCCTGTACAACTGCAACATGACCTCCCAAATTTTGTACTCGGTGCACTGACCAATAAAGGCAAATGTACCAAATGCCTTCTTCATTATGCAGTATACCTGTGAACTTGCTTTCAAGGAATTATGAACCTGCACTCCAAGATCTCTTCGTTTGGCAACACTCGCTAGGACATTACCATTAAGTGTATAAGCCCTGCCCTGATTTGCCCTTCCAACATACAGCACCTCACATTTATCGAGGTTAAACTGCACCTGCCACTCCGCCTATCTGATCAAGGTCCTGTTGTACTCTGAGGTAACCTTCTTTGCTGTCTACTACATTACCAATTTTGGTGTCATATGCAAATTTACTAACCGTCAAAATTTTAAAGGCAATTGACCCAACTAGCTAGCGGAAGAGGGGTGAGCAACGGGGGCAGCTGATTGTGTTGTATTAATCTTAGTGGCAGAGAAGCTTCATGAGCTCTTCTCGCTTGTTGGAGGTAAAGATAGAGGACACAGGGGAGAGAGGGACACAGGGGAGAGAGAGAGATCCCTTCAAAATTAGCTGACTTTGTTAAAGTACCCAAAACTGCATTTGACATTTACAGATTTATTTGTAATTTAATTGACCTTACGTAACTGATTTAGAGTTTATTAACATCATCAGAAACAGACCTCAAGGAACATCGTTCAATCCTGGATATGATTCGAAGAACTATCTCATCACTAGTTACTTGTTAACTCACTGATATCTCATCAGGTTTGACAACTGAGTGAAATCCCTTCCCATACTCGGAGCAGTTGAAAGGACTCTCCCCAGTATGAACTCTCCAGTGCAGCGAGAGATGAATACATGAATAGGAAGGGAATAGAGAGATATGGATCCTGTAAGTGAAGACAGTTTTAATATGGAAGGGCAAAATGTGTTGGTGCAGGCTTGGACGCCCAAAGGGCCTGTTCCTGTGCTGTAATATTGTTTGTTCTTCTTTGTATAGCTCCTGAATTCACATCCAAAGCATTTACATAAAGGACGAAAAGCAATGGACCCAGCATTGATCCATGTGGTGCATCATTGGTCACAGGCCTCCAATCTAAAAAGCAACCCTCTACCATCACCCTTTGTCTTTTAATTTCTGGCCAATTTTGTATCCAAATGGCGAGTTCTCTCTATATTCCATGTGATCTAACCTTGTTAACCAGTCTACAATGCAAAACCTTGTTGAACGCCTTCCTGAAGTCCATACAGAAAAGTCCACCACACTGCCTTCATCAATCCTCTTCAACACTTCTTAAAAAAATTCAATCAAATTAGTGAGACATGTTTTCCCATGCACAAAGCCATGTTGACTGTCCCTAATCAATCCTTGCCTTTCCAAATACATGTGAATCCTGTCCCTCAGATTCTCCTCCAACAACTTGTCCACTACTGTTGTCAGGCTCACTGGTCTGTAGTTCCCTGGCTGTTCCTTACCAAGTTTCTTGAATAATGGCACCATATTAGCCAACCTCCAGTCTTCCAGCACCTCACCCATGGCCATCGATGATACAAATATCTCAGCAAGGGGCCCAGCAATCACTTTCCTAGCTTCCCGCACAGTTCTGGGGTACACTTGATCTGGTTCTGGGGATTTATCCACCTTTGTGCGTTTTAAGATGTCCAGCATCTCCTCCTCTGTATTATGGATACTTTTCAAGATATCGCTATTTATTTCTCCAAGTTCTCTAGCTTCCACCTCCTTCTCTACAGTAAAATATTCGTTTAGTATCTCACCCATCTTCTTCCATTCCACACAAAAGTGGCTTTGCTGATCTTTAAGGGGTCCTATTCTGTCCCTGGTTACTCTTTTGTCCTTACTGCATTTTAGAAACCTTTTGGATTCTCCTTACCCTATTTGCCAAAGCTATCTCATGTCCCCTTCCTGCCATCTTGATTTCCCTTTCAAGTATGCTCCTACTGCCATTGTCCACTTATTCACTAGATCCCTGCTGTCTATATCTGACATGTTTCCTTCTTTTTCTTGACCAGAACCTCAATTTCTCTAGTCATCTCACATTCCCGACATCTATCAGCCTTGCCCTTCACTTTAACAGGAATATATCGCTCCCGACTCTCGTTATCTCATTTTTGAAGATTTCCCACTTACCAGTCATCACTTTACCTACAAACAACTGCCTGCAATCAACTTTTGAAAATCTTGCCAAATATTGTGAAAATTGGCCTTCCTTCAATTTAGAACTCTGACTTTTAGATCACGTCTATCTTTTTCCATAACTATTTTAAAACTAATAGAATTATGATCACTTGCCACAAAGTGCTCCCCCACTGACGCCTCAGTCACTTGCCCAGCCTTATTTCCCAAGAGTAGGTCAAGGTTTGCTCTTTCTTTAGTAGCTACATCGACATACTGAATAAGAAAATTTTCTTGTACACACTTAACAAATTCCTCTCCATCCGATCCCGTAACACTAAGACTGGACTGCAAATGTTTGGAAAGTTAAATTCCCCTACCATTACCATCCTATTATTCATGTAGAGAACTGAGATCTTCTTACAGATTTGCTTCTCGATATCCTGCTGACTATTTGGAAGTCTGTAGTACAATTCCAACAAGGTGATCATCCCTTTCTTATTTCCCAGTTGTGTAATTTAAGCCAACTTTCCTGCCTTTTCGCAAAGTTCTTCATTTTTTTCCCAGCTGAAGTGCTCATCCATTTTGAAAAGTTCAGCTGAATATGCTTCCTGCACCCTTTCAGGCAGTGTCTTCGACATCATCATAAATCACTGCATGATCTTTTCCTTATGTAACCCCTGCCAATTAACTGAAATCTGTCCTGTCTGCTTCCAGGTCCTGTCACAATGGATATTGCCTTCTCCTTATTAAGAGAGTGAGAGGCCTTGAGGAGATCGCAGATATCAGAAGTGGTGAGGCCTTGGTGGGAACTGCAAAAAGTGCGAATTTCAAAGGCCAAAGCCACCATTACAGAAAAGAATTCTCTATAAATAATAAATGTGCAGAGAAATGAGAGAGTATCTCACTAAATATTACAAATTGGGTTGGGGGGAGGAGGAAAATTAAATAGTTAACTAAAAGCAATACTGAAATAAAAGTGGGTAGTAGGCCATAATCCACAAAGGTGATCTACCTCCTTTGCAGAATGAAAACTGGTGAGATAGCTTGAAAGGCATCACTTCACATCATGCATAGGGCAAGGCAAAGCAAAGCAACAAACCATGAACTACCGCAACAAAAACAAAGTTGCTGGAAAAGCTCAGCAGGCATGGCAGCATCTGAGAAAGGAAAAACAGAGTTAACGTTTCGGGTCCGGTGACCTTTCCTCAGAACTAGCCCATTCAGAGATTGAATTCATGATGTTGATGTAATTCTACACCACACCCAGCCATCCAACTGAGCTGAAGGGAATTAATAACCTTTGAATCATAATCCACTTTACACAGAAGCATCTGAAAAAATCAACAGGAGCTCCAGAAAAAGAAACTATTAAACCATTTTGTTAAACTAGTTTATCGACACACTGTCTAAATGTTAAAATACAAATAATTTACAGAGAATTCACACTGACCAATTCTGGTTTCAGCCCTCAGTCTTTGGTAAAAGAACTTGCTGCTCCCTGACCTCTG